CCGTTATCTTTTCATACCGAGTGCCTCGGTCTAAAGGTGTTGTGTTTGATGTGTTTGATGCGTTTTACCAGACTGTCTTGGCTAGGCCACTGATTTTTATTTTCATTTCATTTTTCGTATGATGGTTTTACGGATCTTACAGGAGGTTCCAGATGGCGATTGGTTCTGCCCGTCTTGCTGTTGTCAGATATGTGGATTGGGCAGTTTCGAAGGGGATAATAGACAAACCTTAGATTATTCTGTTCTCACGTGCTTTCAGTGCGAATGCCGATGTAAGTTTTAACTTATACCGGTTTACACTTTCACAGATTAGCTTAAAAATAGATGCCTTTTTTGACGTTTGCTCGCACCGTCGCGCGTGTGTGTTTAGATCACGAGGAGTGCCTCAGACATAAAGGAATCAAGAGCTGTTATTCGGCAGTAAGTTGGTTTTGTGAAGATACATGTGAACAGGTATCTTAAAAAAAAGCTCCTTACAGTAAAAATGGATGGCATACATTCAAGTACTTCTTGCATTATGGGTTTTAACGTATTCAGTTGGTTTTCTGTAGATATTTTGTGGTCTGCGCAATATTGTGGGAAAACCGGTTCCGGTGGGAACTGACGATATGATTTGGACGTTATTGAAATACATTAAGTCTGATCCATACGATCAATATGCATTTGATGAAGAAGATTTATTAGAGGTTTATGGAAAGCTTAATGTTGCTCTTGGCCTGATGCATGAATGTTTCGAGCCTCTCAAAGTGCCCGGCACCGGGAGGGATCTTGTTGAAGATATTGTTTTCAGCGAGGGGTAAGAATTTGTAAATATTATCTAATATAATCTTACACAGTTTACTACTTGTGAATCATTTGATTGCTGATTTTTTTTTTATTTTTTTTTTTTACACTTTCACACATTTGAATAAGATCATAATCAAGAATTTATGTGTCAGATCAGATGGTTCAAAATTCTTGTTATTCAAGTGCAAGATTTCATTCATTTCATTATATTTGCTGATTTAAGGATTATGATACATAATGTATTCAGGTCAGAACCCAACCGTAATAACTTTCGAGGGTTTTATACAGTAGTACTGGAGAAGAATGACGAGTTGATTTCAGTAGCTACTGTGAGGTATTTCGTGCTGTTGCATTTAAATTTGCATGCACTTCCCCTTTTTATTCTCTGTTCTATTTCGATACCTTTAAAAATTTCTGTCTTGTTGACTACAGAGTACATGGCCAGAGAGTGGCAGAAGTTCCTTTGGTAGCAACGCGATTTTGTTATCGTCGGCTTGGAATGTGCCGAATTTTGATGAATGAACTCGAGAAGGTACACTATTTTTTTTTAACAGTTACGTATAGATAAATGTTACAGTTACAGATAATTGCTTGTTTATCTAGCAGAAATATACTTTGCATTTGAAACTTTGAGCAGGTAAATAGATAGGGGCCAGCTTAAACTCCTGAAACCCACTAATTTTTGTTTTTTTTTTTTATTATTTTTTTATTTTTGGTTGTTTGCTTACTCATGGAAATTCAGATGTCAGATAGTCTTTTTACGATTTGATGATGTGATATGCCGAAAACTTACAGAAATCAAATGAAGTGTAATCCAAAGAAGTTGTTCTTACATGTTTTAGTTTTTATCAATTTGGTTTTTTTGCAGAAACTCGTGCAATTGGGAGTGGAGAGGCTCGTTTTGCCGGCTGTTCCGAGTATACTCAGCACTTGGACTAATTCTTTCGGATTTTCCGTGATGAACGAGGCTGATAGACTAAAGTTACTCGGCTGCACCTTCTTACAGTTTCAGGGAACTGTAATTTGCCAGAAAATCCTAACAGGCAGTCCTTCAACAGGTATGTTAAACGCTGCAAAAGAAAGTTTTATTCATAACATGAATTTAGTTGTAAAAGAAGTAAAAAAGAAATATTACTTCCTGTCGATAAGTTAAATTCATCTTCATCTTCATTTATACAGGAAAAGATGTACATACTTGTTGCTACGTGAATGGAAATGTTAACTTCGAGTTAGATGGAAACTCAGTAGTGTCTGAAATTCTTCAAGGAGAACAGGTGGAGAAAAATGACTTGCTCGAGCAAGATTCTACACGGTAATAAAGATATGTTTTTAAAATGCTGCTAAACGCATGATTTAGTTAAAGTCAAAATGCAATTTTCTTGAACAAGAGTAGGCATATCTCGTCGTTTTCATGTATACACCGATTGTTTCTGGGAAAACGAGTTACCTAAATATGGATATATATATATATATATTCTTTCGATCATTGTGCCCTTTGTCCAACATTTTTCACCTTTGATATTTACTGATCACGACAGGTGGATAGACGAGCTCCTCATGAGTGCTTGATGCTCGTGGCCATTTTTTTCACTGGGGTGAAACTGTAAAAACAATGATGTCAAGCGAGTCGAAAAAATAACAAGGATAATATCGTCAAATTCGACACGTGAAGGCTAAGCTGTGGCTGTATATTGCTTTTGAGAGCCACTGTTCCTATTTTGTGTACAGATGACTGATTGGTATATACAGGCTTTTTATGTCCTGCTGTTTTTTAAACTTCTTGAGCAGTAAGTTTTGGGATCATGTAAGAAAACTGGCTGATTTTCAAGAAGTTTTGAGATTGTATAAGAATGGTTTTCAAATGTTTTGAGGGATCATATATGAAAAATC